TAACTACTTGGTAAACTGTAATTGAAACGTGCTTTGGGGAAATGCAAGACTGTTTGGTAACCTATATTTGGAAAGTCCTTTAGTGTGACCAATTTAATTTTTTTAATTTTAATTGTTGAAAATTGAACTAAAAAAAACAATAACTGTAACGTTTATATTTTCTCTTTGAGATTAATGTAAAAGAAACATATTAACAAATTCAAATAAAAGAGAGAGTCCTTATTATAATAATACACGTGATCACACGTATTTAAGAATGAAATATATTATCCTTAAATATTACAAACATCCTTAATGACTTTGTAAACTCATGACTATTTGATCATTAAACGTGCCATGTCAGGAGATACATTATCATTTGAATCACTCACCCCTCATTTAGATTATCATGGTTAACTGAATATCCATAATCAGGATCCAATTCTACACTTTCAAAATTCGTATCGATCAAGGCATTTCTTCGTATATAATTGTGCAAAGCTGTTGTCACTATGACAATTTGCACTTGCTTTTCATACCAATAACTTGGCATCTTAGTTAGAATCTTCCACTTATTCTTTAATATGCCAAATGCTCGCTCAATTACTGAGCGTGGAGAAAAATGGGCACAGTTGAACACTTCTCAATAACCCGTAGGGTGTAGGACCCCGTCGTTACTCTGGCAAATAATATCTAAAATCTTTATATAGCCCTAAATAACCCGTGAGATTTAGATATCCAACATTTATTATATAATATTTACCTAAATAAATATAATGAAATTTACTCAACATATGCCGCATAGATATGTGTGTATATATTTAATTATAATGCTGGACGAAGTCTAAACAATCAATTAACAAACCTGTACTCTTCGTCCAGCATTAGAAATAAGGGTGTGAAAAACGGACCGCCTAGACTAGATCGAACCGGCCGGTTTGGTCCGGTTCCCAGTTTCTAATAGTGAAACCAGTATATGGGCAGTCCAGACCGGACCATCCGGACCAAACCGACGACATATACTTTTTTTATATTTTATTTCTTCAAAAAAATTAGTAAAATGTGAACTAAACCCACGAACAACTCTTTCCTTTTATCATCGCACCACAATGACTCTTCACTTATCGTCGTTTCCGTCAATATGTTGAGATTTGTCACTCTCTTTCGTTATGGCAGGACAAAAATAAAAAAAAATGACCAGTTCTCGATATTAGGACCAACTGGTCCGGTCCCCGGTTCCCGGTTCCACCTTGGAACCGGACCAGATCGAGAATTAATCACCCCTAATTAGAAAGCTGGCAAAGAGAGGGTCCTTTTGTCGGTCAGTCACGTTCTTCAAATAGAACAAGCGGAGTGGAGCTAGTTGTCACACCCCGTACCCTACGAGCACGCGATCATCCCTCAATGGTCGATCATTAAATGCGACGTCCCAGGCACGTCGCCGACCCAACCCAAACATCAGAGATTAGGCACACGCGGAAACAAATAGAAACAACCCAGACAATTAATAATGACAAGGGGTAGCAATAGCATGAAACAATAACTGTAATTCCTACACTTGGCAGATACATACGACGCTCACAAAAAGACAATCCCCGAGCTAGGCCACAACAATAGAACCACATTCCTCGAAAGAGACAATAGTTCGCAAACTTAACTCCTCTACAAAAGGGGAACTCAAAAATACCGGGTACTTGACCCCGTCCTCGATCTCCGAGATACCCTTGCAGCGTCTCCAATCACTCATGGTCACGGATCTAAAATGTTTATATAATAACCGTGAGAACGAGTCTCAATAAGCAACCCCCTATACCCCACATAGGCCAATGCGTACCCAGACAAGTCGTACATGCAATCTACCCCATAACATATAAAATAAAATCGCATCCTTATACTTACCTCACCATCGAACCCATGCTAACACTGCACGTTAGTCATAACATGGTAATGCAGTAATAGTAACTAAATAGCACATCGCAATTGCTCAAACGCCAACCACACTTGCACGCAATTCATTTTACTAATTCGACCACACATTCAACCAGCCAATTCAATCACACTCAACCAGACATTTCAATCACACTCAAATCGCATGCGTGGCCGAACATCTTTCTCACGACCCGCGCCACTACGCCTCAGGTCCAGTCTCACTGCCCGCGCCACTGCGCCTCAGGCCCATCTGGCACACCGGCCATTCATGCTTTCACACGGACCGCCGTCAACACGTCCCAAGTTCGTAGCCCTTCGATCAATCCGAGCTCAATTCTAATGACCGACGTAAACACGTCCCGGTCCAACACACCTTTAACGGGCCACCGTCAACACGTCTCAAGCCCGCATCCATTTGGCACACCGGCCATTCATGCCTTCACACGGACCGCCGTCAACACGTCCCAAGTCCGTAGCCCTCCGATCAATCCGGGCTTGTCTCATGCATATGCACCACAACACAATTCAAAATTCTCACAAGCCGTACCAATCAAACTCAAGGCATGCTCACCACAATATTCCACCAACCCGACCTTCAAGTCGTTCACATTCAGCTGTCAATTCCACTCACAACCGCCACGATAAGCCAATCATTGACTCACCACAATAGCCACAAATATGCACCCACAATCATCTCAATTTCAAATCACAAGCTCACGGTTCCGACATTCAAGTCAACACATTCAATTAATCCAATTCACCCACAAGCGTCACGACAATTCAGTCATGCTATTTATCTCAGTCAATCACTAAATTAGCCACACAATTACTGCCACAATAATTCACAAATTGAGCACAATCAGTCAAATTAGCCCACGCATAATTTAATTCCTAACCCGGTACCAAACACATCCTAAACAAGTCTAAAAATACCCATAGTCCTAAATAAGGAATAGGAGGTCACTTACTAGGTTTTTTGCCTGGGAAAAATCGACTATGGCCCGGAATGGCCCGGTCGGAACGGTGGTGCCTCGACGCGGCCGAGGGCGCGACGAGCGCGGGGCTCGGCCATGGGCTGGGCCACGGGCAAAATTCTCGGTCACGGCTGGGCACGGGCACGGCGCGGGCAGGGGCGCGGGCAAACGGCCGGGACGCGTGGGCAACGGGCTCAGCCATGGCCCGGCAATGGGCTGGTCGGTGGCCCGGGCCACGGGCCGGATCAGTGCTGGTTGGCCGGCGATGGCACGGCCGGGGGCGAAGACAGCGCCGGCTGGGCGACGGTGACGACGAGCTCGGCGACAGTGACGCACGGAGGGGAGAGGGAAGAGGTGAGCTGGGGCGGTGAGGGCGAGAGGGAGAGGGAGATGGGGCTAGGGGGCGGCGACGACAGCGGCGGGGCTGCACGGCGCGGCGGCTGGCGACGCAGGGCCGGCCGGCGAGCGGTTGAGCAGCACCAGCGAGCTGCAAGCGTAGTCGCGAGCTGGTGGACAGGGGCGACGGTGCGGCTCGACTGGGAAAAATATGGAAAGGAGAAGGAGAGGGGGGGCTCGGCGGCGGCTGGCGGGCGGATCGGCGTCGGCGCGCGGTGGTCAGGCGAGCTCGGACGGACGGCGACGGGCAGCAAGGAGAAGAAGCAGAAGCAGACGCTAGAGAAGTCGCGGGCCAAGAAGAAGGAAGAGAAGAAGAAAGGAAGAAAGAAGAAAAGAAGAAAAGAAGAAAAAGAGGAGAGAGAGGAGAGAGAGTCTGACAAGGGGGGAAAAACACGTGCACAGCAGCAACACGGCAGAGAGGAGAGAGGAGAGAGAGAGAGGGGGGGCCATCATGCGCGGCAGAGGGGAAGAAGAGAGAGAGAGAAAGAGAGAGAGAAAAAAAATAAACTTCATTCAAATAATTATTGCGATTTAATGGCCCATATTTAAAATCGAAAACGATTCAACGGTCCAAATTAATTCTAGAATATAATAAGGGACAAAGGCCAAATTAATTAAATCAAACTATCCCGAGGGAGGTCTACTAGTCCAAATCCGCATCCGGTCAAAAATTCACTTTTCACATATTCCGGGCAATCTCGAGGATGGCCACAATAATATCGACACCGTCCAATTAAATTCGTCCCGAAACTCCGAGAAATTCGACACCAAAGTTTGGGCTCTAAATAACGGCCAAATTCGATCGAGTGCGATTCTAGCGAAATCTCAATTTTAAAAACAATATCCGAGAGTGATCAGTTCTCGGGCGAGATTTTACTATAAGCACACTGACGAATTACACGTTTTATAAATCCCAAAAATGGGTCGAAATTCGGAATGTCACACTAGTAATCGAGTAATAATCCCAATTTCCATCTTCCTTTTCGTGAATTCACAGCCTCTCGCAACACCCTGTCCTCTTCGTCCAGCATTAGAAGCTATAATCAAATAAATGCGGATATAGCTTATAATCCGTGAAAAAAAATGCATAAGTATCGACCAAAAAAAAAAGCATTAGTAATAAGTATGGCATGTAAGGGTGTGTTTGTTTCACCTACAACTTCATGATAATGGAAAATATTTTCCGTGAAAAACATTTTTAAGGAAAACGATGAGATTTCATTTGTTCAGCTGTGATTTTCAACTTGGGCACTATTAAAACTTATTGAATAATTTGCACCGGCCGTAACTACGTTTTTTCAATTAATAACAAGATAGGATTAGATAAGATAAGTAAAGTGTCATAAGGTTCGGATATCTCATATTATAAAAATATACACAAGAAGTCACCTTTAGCAAGTTTTGGCCAAAATTCTAGGAGCTAAGTCCCATTCGACCAAAACGAGAGTCCCATTCGAATGCACTTTTGACATTTCCAATATATAGATCCTGCAAAAGTAAATATGGATGAAATTCTTGCACATCTTACCAAAGCACTCCCAAGGAAAGTACTGACAAGCATTCCTAACTCGACCAACTTAATGTTTTGCTCGCAAGTCTAGGATAAGTTCTATAGAAGTCCATCTAACTGCATGGTTCTATGAAGTCATGAAAACCCACCAACACTTTCCACTAACATGAAAGATCATGGGAGATTGAGACTTGAATAGACACGAGATCATGTAACTGGCATCAGAACTTGCATTTTCTTGACTTACAAATATGTAATACAAAGCTCAAGCCACTCCAAAACGCAACTCCCCCCAAATGAAAAGGTCAAACTCAAAGGCAGGAAAAGAAGAAAAAGAAAACTCAGCCGCTAAAGGAGATCAGATGTCCAAAACATTATAAACTCTAACAGGAGTTAGGATTTGCAGGATTATTCATGACATAGACTTGAATGTGTCCAAACTCCAAAATCTCCCGTGCCTGGTAGTGATCTGTTGCTCTAGGACCTGGGCTCCAACTCCTCCACTGCCACTTCCTCGTTCTCTCCGGACATCTCTTCCAATGACTTGCCCTTCGACTCGGGCACCAAGAACGTAAACAGAAGACCCAGCAAGTTGATGACTCCCAATAAGATGAGCGAGTTCCGGACCCCAATGCCCGCCGGGTAGCCTGCGTCGGCCTTGGTCTTGTCCTGGTTCTGCGCTAGGTACAGGAATCCGAAAGCGCCCACAATCGCCCCGAGCTTCCCTGCCGCCGCAGATATCCCGTGGCAGGTCGACCGCAGCCTGGCAGGGAAGATCTCAGCTGGGACCACGAAAGTGGTGGCGTTGGGCCCAAAGTTGGCGAAGAAGAAGGTGAGTGAGTATATCACCACGAACCCGATGCGGTTTTCCTTGTGCGTCCAGTGGTTGTATGGGATAGCGAGTGCGAACATGAACACCGTCATGAAAGCGAAGCCCATCAGCTGGATAGCAAACCGCCCCATCCTGTCAATGAAGGCCACGGTGAACCAGTACCCAGGGACGGTGCTGCACAGGGCAATAAGTGTCTGTGCCCGCCCAATCCTGAACACCTCCTCAAGTGCGTTCATGGTCTTCGCAGCAGGGATCCACCCGATCGCGCTGAAGATATCCTTCTGGAACAGATTCTGGCTGTAGAACGCAATGTCGAGCAAGAACCAGGTGGAAGTCGTCCCAAGCAGGTGGAGGCCATGGCGCTGGAAGAATTGCTTGGTGAACAAGCCGAATGCGCCGGCCTCACTCTTGGTTAGCTGCTCGACCTTGCTTTGCTCGGCCTCAATGTCAACTTGCAAGACCTTGGACATGTCCGATGCAGCCTGCTTGGCGTTCTTAGCCACAAGGGCAGTGTAGCGGGCGGTCTCCGGCATCTTCATCCTCCAGTAGTAGGTGAGCCCTGCCGGAATCGCCCCCACCATCAAGATGATCCTCCAGACATAGTCAGCCTGTGGAACAGTCGAGCCAATCGGGTCCACCTCATAAGCCGGGGCATCGTACCTCGTCTTGAAGGCTGTTGACACGATGATGGCGAAGACACCGCCAAAAAGGATCCCAAAGCCCTGCATGGCGAAAACAGCAGCAATGAAAGCACCTCGGGTCTTCTTATTTGCATACTCGGACATGATTGTTGCTGACAGCGGGTAATCACCACCGATACCGAAGCCAAGCCAGAAGCGGAAGAAGCACAAGGTGGCCATCACCGACTTGGAGTTGTGCCCAAATGAGAGGCCCGAGGCGATGGAGCATATGACCATGAGCATCAAGGTCAGGCCATAGACCTTCTTCCGGCCCAACTTGTCACCGAGCCACCCGAAGAAGAGCTGGCCAGCAAGGGTCCCGCAGAGCGCGACCCCATTGACAGCTGCCGAGACATTAGGAGGCAGAGAGCCGGGCTTTGCCGCGCCGTCGACATGGTAATAGATGCGGCCGAGCAACTTGGTGACAAGGGATATGCAGAATAGATCGTAGGCATCAGTGAAGAAGCCCATCCCAGCGATAATGATCGCAGTGAAGTGATACCACTGGGTCTTTGCGACATCGAGGGCGTTGAGGACTTGCAACTGTTGCCCCGCCATGGCCACCGACTCTCTCCGCTCTCTTCCTCTGTGAATAATTTCAGGATCGACAAGAAACAACTATGAGCACTTGCCCTAACCAGCTAGAAACTAATCATATATATAGCCACAAGCCAAGACCGTCAACAATTTCACAAGATTAGGCAAGAAAAAAAACGAGCAAATTCACATTCGAGTAGAACATTCAATTACACAGTCAAGCAACTGGGGCAGGTTCAACTGTGAACGAGCTCTAGGATCTCCAGTTAAAAGAAAAGTAAATTTGAAACGAAGAAAGAAGGTAAAGACAAACCTTACCATGGATCGTACACCCAATTTTGCAAGCACAATTTATTGTCCATTAAAGTGATTCCTTGCAAATACAACTCATCGTCCATAAAGTGAATCATTGCTGACACAGCTTTCCTCAAACGATTCGGAATCCCACACGGTATTCAGAATTTCATTATCAAAATCAAAACGTATATTATCTCGACTCGAGCAAGAAGGGAAAGACCCGAGCGTCAAGAAGAGGCCCCAACGAATTATATTAATTGTCCTTGAATGCCATTTACTTGTTTTCCACTCATTCACAAATCCGAATACGCCCTTTCATCGGGGCAACAAACGACGAGTTCTTGATCTCTTTTCCGTATCTTTTTCTTCTTTTAATTCTTCGCCGAAGACAAAGTAAAACCACAGAAATGATCGAATGTCCAGGACACAGAGAACGATCTCTGGTGGCAAAGAAACCAGACGACCGAAACATCAAGAAACTCATGTTCTCCGAGTTGCAGGTGATACGACGAAGACATGCAACGACAATGAGTTGCTGAGCTTTGTCGGGTGATACGAGACAAACCAACCAGAATAAACAAAGGAGAAATTGTACACAAGAACAAACGCAACAAAGACCAGCGTCCGGAGACCAACGATGTAGAGAGAGACTAACCTTTGCTTTCTCTCTGGGGATGATAGAAAACGATGGAGAAAGAGAGAGCGAGAGAGGGCGAGAGGGAGATTAAACGGTAAGTTTTCTTTTATGGATGGCTTTGGGTGCTGTCATTCTGGGGATGAGAAGTGGTGAATTTATAAGCGAACCGAGTCCCATCGAGCCTTTAACAAACTGGGGAATCTCCACAGTATATTCCGCCTCATTTTCCGCTCTACCATATTTGGGCCTTAAATTTCTCTTATTAGATTACAGGATATTCGAACCTTTTTATTTCGATTATTTCTTACTGGTAAATTCTGTCCACGCATAACGAGTAAAGGGTATTCGCAGGATATAAGACGTGACCCTGATATCACTTTGAGTAGAAGACGCACTATAATTAGGCCTCAGAATTTGCCCCGCCCAAATTAAGCACTTGATTACTCGATGAACTCCGACATAAATAGCTTTATTCCTAGAATATTCAAGAAAAGATTTACTATGGTGGCAAAATCAATATTTACAAGGGAAAAAATTTTGCTACTTATGATTTTGGATTCATATTTTGTTGAGAGCATTTTAGGAATAAACTCATGTATTGACATAACAATATTGGGGAGCGTGTCTTTAAGATTGCATGGCAAGATAGATTATTCAAATTGAACGGGAGCTGACATAGCCACCTTATGATAGCTGAAACAAAGAGAAACCTATTTAAAGGTCCTGTCCATAAAATTGAAGGCATTAGGTCTCCAAATTTACCGCACTCAAAATGAGCACACAACATCACAACAAACTCTTTGAGATCATTAATTTTATCTCTAGAATTATTCAAGAAAAAATCATTACTATAATATACATAGTGGACAAAATGAATATTCATGTGGAATCTATCTATAGGATTGTCCACTTGTAACTTTATTAGTGCAGCTTAAAGTGAAATCTATTTTGTTTCATTTAGATATTGTTAAATATACCAAAATGGGTCAAATAATTTAATTTATTAAGTGATGTGACAGTATTATTCAATGTAAAATATGACTTACTTTTTCAAAATCCAAGTTATAAGCTGTCATATAACCTCAACGAAGCAAATTACTAAAACAATCTTAGTATACCTAACATTTGATATACTCGTGACATTTAGTGTGGAAATGCATTATTCTTGATTTGCAATTTACGATGTTGTCTTTGAAAAAAGTATTTCATTTCTCAATTGCAGAATATATATATATATATAGTCGCTATACATATGAAGAAACAAGTCAATTAATTGCGTGTTAATTATTTATGGCCAGCAAAAAAGATGCACTTAGGTAAATTCCAAGAAAGATGGCTATCTCTCAATTGTTATAATTAAACTGCATCTCCAAGTGGCTAATTCTTTCTACCGATGCACACATAGTCAACGGGATATCAATCTCATCTCAGCCCTCGCATTCATAAACGAGACGTTTGTTCAAGATAGGCCGTTGTTTTGTCCCCATTCTAGTCCGAAAAAGCGAAGAAAATGATGCCTCGGCGTTGACACGTGGGACTTTTCATTATTTTTGTCCCTTTTTTTTTTATGAGAAATGTGTGTCAACAAGCAAGTCAAAGCAACAGCTGTACTTGTCAAAAGGACGGCAAGCTGGGCCCACCGAGGTCAAATTTCAATTGATTCTGTCCGGTTCTTGCTGTGAAACCTCGGACTTGCAACAAAAAGAGTACGAGTTGCGGGGCTCCGAATTTTTAAGTTGGGACAATAGTATAGATAATTTATGAATTTTAATTTAATATGTAACGGAGCATCTGAATTTTTAATTTTTTTAATATGATCTCTTTACTTTAATTCAATGTGCAATGTCGTCCCTGAATTTTTAATTTATTCAGTATGATTCATGAACTTTAGGTTAATATTTAAACTAATCCTTAAACTATATGAAAATAACTAATGTTATCATTTCATTAATTTAAGTTTAGGGACAACATTGAACATTTTTATATAATACAAAAACTAGTTTGAACATGTATCAAAAGTCCAGTAATCACATCAAGCAAATTAAAAGTTTAGGGACGGCATTACATATTGAATTAAAAGTCAAAGATCACATCGAATAATTAAAATTTCGGGGACCATATTATATATTGAGTCATAGTTCAAAAATCATTTGCGTCATTTGCACTTGAGCGAATGATTTGGCACAATCCCTACATTTTGGAAATCTGTGGAGGTCTTTTGAATTGGGAAATGGGATATAGATATTTCTTCATTTTGGTTTTTGAGATGTCAGGGATACATATGACATGAACAAAAAGGTAAAATTATTAAAGGTCACATTGACGACCTTTTTAAAATACTTACTAAATATACTTCTCTTAGAATAATTTAATTTTCAAAACATTAATTACACATAATAATAGAAAAGTCAATATCTTGAAATTTGCATAGTTTCCTTAGTTACTTGCTTAACATATGTTCTTAGGATATTGATGCGGAAGCATCGGACTTAACTCCATCAACAAAATTAGCACCATCGATATTCATTTAAGCAAAGATAGAATTCGGTCATAACTTACTTCGTTGGATCATCGACAATGAGACTATCAATCAGGTTATCAATTATTAAGTTGTCGATTCTTCCTCTTGACATTTAAACCTATCATTTCACAAAGAATAGTTGCTGATTTTAGCGCGGATCGATAGCATATCGATGGGAAGTTTTTCAAGCAATTTCCTATGACATTTGCTGATTTATTGGGGTGGTTATCCTATGGTCAAAGATGGTGGACAAATTTTTAAAGATAAACCGAAGGTCTAAAGAGTCAAGTTACAAGTCTCCATGTCTTTCTTGTTGTTCATAGTTCCTAAGTGTCATTAATACATTTATGAGTTCCTAGGTGTGACATCCCCGAATTTGGGGCCAAGACGATCAAAGGTGAATGGTAATAGAATGGGCGAGCAGTCCGATCCAAGGGTCGATAATGGAACGGATAACATGGTCAGAACGAGTGTACTGAGCGTTAGTCATGGTTCGATTGAATGATTGTCCATGAATTGATCATGGGATTGACAATAGAATGACTCCTCGAACATGCAAGTCGATTAGAGTGATACGATTAAGGAATGACCCTTCAACCATAAGGGCCGTTAGTGGGAAGGTTTGGAACGACCATGGATCAGTGCCGTGTCGGTATGTGTCGGTCGCGGGTGATTCTACACCACCATGTATCGGTCTTGGATGACCATGGATTAATCCCGTGGTACTGAATTTCACACAGCTACATGACAATTGAGGGTCGATCATGGGTCGTTAATACTTGAACATGGACTAGTCGCAAATCAACCATAGATCGTTGTGTTAAGTCGGGTAGACTATGGATGAGCCATGTGCTAAGCCACGAGCCATCTGACATGTTACGAGCCTAGTGGCTTGGTCGCGGACCAAGCTTTGTGCCAGCCGCGCTGGCCAAGCCTTATGCCCAGACATGACCGACCATTGTGCCAGTCAACTAGGCCATGGATTGGCCTTGTGCCCAGTTATGTGCCAGTCATTGTGCCTAACCCTTGTGCCAAGCATTGTGCTTGTCAGATCCGGCTTCGACCTAGTTCTGTGCCTAACAGACTTGGCCATGAGTTATACATTGTGCACATTCATGAGCCAATGCATGTGTTTGGTCCATGAACCGGTCCCTCGCTCGTATGGCCCAACATTGTGCCCGGCACACCGCTCATGTAGCCTGACACCGCGCTTGTGCACTCGGCCCTGTGACTGGCCATGTGCCTAATCCTGTGCCAGTGTGGCCCGGCCGTATACCAGGCCCCGTGCTTGGTCACACCCAACCACACAGGCCACGCACCTAGTCAATTCGATTGGTCCGAACTTGCATAATTGGACGTGGACTTTGGCTTAACCATGTTTAGTCATATTTGGGGGTATTTTTACACCGAATCTCGAATGGGATAGGTCGGTCGATCGTTCTAAATCGGAAATTCCTCGTTACTTAGGCATCCTTGCTAAGTACACTTATTGATTTTGGAAGATTAACCTTAATGAAGAGGTGGACCATAAGCCGATTGTCCTTAGTAAGTTATTAAGTGCCATTAAGGAACAAGAACCAGCAAGATTCGGCCAAGCTTGGCGAGCAAGAAGCCAATTTTGACTAAGTCAACATAGAACCAATTATTAGAAGATAATCATTAAAAAGATCTTATCTTGTAAGATCTTCATTAATTGAGAATCTTTAGTGATCTTGTATGATCTAGAGAGTGCCACACGGCCCCTCTAGATTGGAGAACAATAATGGAGGCCAAGACAAGAACAATTATTAAGAGACCATTATTAGAGGCTTATGTGTCCTCTAGAAAATTAATGCCTTAGGTGACTAATATACCCTAAGTTAGGGCATAATGACCCTAATAGGACACTTGGTGATCATTTAGACCATCCAATTATTAGGTCTAAATATTTGGATAAGATTTCCACAAGATTTTCTCTAATAATAGGCGCCACATGAATGAATCTTATTGGACCATTTGGCAAGTGAATTATTGGAGTCATTGGCCTATAAATAGAAGGGACCCCAAGCCATTTCATCCTTTCCCAACCGAGCAACCCACTCTCTCCCTATCTCTCTCGGCCATCTTCTCTTTCTTGGTCTCTCTTTCTCTTTCTTTCTCGGCCACTCTTCCGGCTACACTCTCGGCCCCACACTCTCACCGCCACACCATCACCAAACACCTTAGGATAGCTCGTGTAGTAAGTGAATTCCCCATACTTTGGTTAGGACATGGTGTTGCGCGTTTAGACTCAAGTGGTGACCTTGTTTGATGCTTGTTGTGTGCTTGTTATTGTGCATCATGGCCGTCAATCAAGGCACGTACGGGTCATGAAACGGGATGTCGTATGGTCTCGTACTCACGTTGTGGCATTACGGGACGAGCATGGCTTGGTGCGGGTTTTCATTGAGGCGTGTAGATCTGGGCCAAGTTCGACTCCAAGCCGGCGCTCGGCATGGCGGACCGAACCATGTACCCTCGACCGCGCCCCACATGTTAGGCAATTCGCCCTATAGAGCATGGATCACATAGGCATTGCACGATTATAGGGGCTAATATTATCAAGATAAGAATCGAATTGTTTGATGATTGTTGGATGATCACAC